GCTGGTGCAAATAATAATTTTGGGCAGAACTGAATACTCTGCAGGAAAATAGAGATCGTTGTCAAACTTTTTTAATTGAGACAATGAAACTAGACAAATACAAAGAGAGTACACGATGATGGTATTTATAATATGTATTCTTCACATACCAAAGAAATAAGTAGAACATAGAAAGGGCATTATGGTCGTGGGGAAGAACTGAGAAATTCTGATATAATTTGTCAGAATTTCGCGATATAGTAATTTATTTAGATTATTGCTATTTTTAAATGTTTATGTTTTGGACTATTTTTTAATGAAATATTATCTATAGATCTATTAATATACTGTCGTTTAATATTGTCTTTATTTAGAAATCAGCCAAATCAAAGCCTGGGCCGTGCAATTCCGTGCCGTTTCACGAAACAAAAACGTAAAAGGGATAACAATTGCAATAATTTTTATGGAGTTCAGTGCAGCTGGTGTTATACTGGTTTGAAGCTTTGTTTAACGAAGGCAGAGGTGCCTTAACCATCGCAACATTTTCTAGCCTGGGGGTCATGTCATTCTGTTTCGGCGCTCGGTTCTTTGGTTGTAATTTCAGTAGCAGGCTATGTCTGTCCGCTCAAATAACTGTTAAACAATTCGATGGATTTTCATAAAACTTATTACTAACACGTCACTTAAAACCAAAACGTTTGTGTACTCTTAATTTGTTACCACAAGTAGTACTGACATTACAACATTGCTAACTTGTGAGGTGGGAGCGACAGTGTTGCAAACGTTGCACGATTTTGCTGTGACTTTGAGATATGCAATTTGATAGCGGCTACCAAAACTCCACGCAGCATAGTCCTTTTCGAGAAATTTATAGTCATAAAAATGCCCTGCCTTTTGTGGAGCCCGTCACTGGTCCGTAATCTTAGCCCGATGAATCCAAACCACACCCTCTAATTCTAATCCAAAGAAAGAAAATAAAAGAAAGGGAAAAATACAACAATTTCTTTTCTGTTCTCCGAATTCGAATTTGTAGAATGTTTCAATGTGTTTGCTTCCAAATATTTTGAATTGACTGTACGCAGTTATTTTGATAAATTCCTATATAACTATTTGTATTTCACGATCCGACATCAAATTCAGCTGTAGTTCCGAGTGCCGAGAATGCACTCCTGGTCAGTAGACCTATATCTCTCACCGAAACACCAAATGCTAACATAAGCACCGCAACAGAAATATTTATGCTTCGCTTGAACATGATTACGTACGACTACTAAATATAACACGTCACGTCCGTGAAGAACGCCTGTGATATACATCCCCTTGATTCATGTTATGAAGGAGGGAATCTCGTCACATGTCAGACGGCTGGGTTACGAATATTGCGCTGTCAATGCCATCTGTTTTCAATTCAACGCGCATTATTCCACAGATATGCAAATTATCTTTCTTTACTACCCAGGACTATAATTCATCTCCCGTATCCAAGTCCATGGGACAGATTTCTTCTTGAGAAGCTGATAATCTCTCGACTAGTCAAATTCCCCGCCTTTTATCGAAACTGAATGTTCAGTACCGAATTCACAACAGCCTGTCACGGGACACTATCTTGAGTCAGATATACCGATTCCAAATCCTCACACCCTATTTTAAAACTGTTTTAATATTATCCTCCCTTCTATGCCTAAGTCTTTCAAGAGATCTCTTTACTTCAGTTCAGTTCCTCGTATTCATTATCAAATGAAGGGCAGATTAAGACTAATATTAGGGCATGCTCGCCACCTTCAAATTCGGAGAATTTCAGTGCCCTTTTTAAAATTAAGCGCTGAATTGTACACAACTATAATTTTAGATCTTATTTGGGCAGGAATCGTGGTTTTAAATATAAGAGAACGTAGATTAAGATCTGAATTGTGGTATTCTGGGTTGTAACACCGTGTAATCTAGTAGGTAGCTGGCTACCAACGTTTCGAAGGAACGTATTGCTTTCCATCCTCAGAGTAGAAGTGAGTCAAGACAAGAACTTGTTGCCTCTATCTTCAATGTCTCCACGTGACGTAATAATCGCCACGGATTACCGTCAGTGTCCTCCTATTCTGGCCAAATGCCGTTCTGACATTCTTATACACGTGTCTTGTCGGCCAGAGTCTCATAATGTAGACACGGCATGAAAACCTCGACTGTTTCAGTGAGCTTGCACTATAGCGATTGGAATCGATTTCATAAACTCGTACTTTGTTTACTGAAGGAAGTGTTGTCTAGAAGACAGCGGATCACAGAGACATTTCAGACACTCTATTGAATAAATGGAGCAGAAATTGAACAAAGCAAAGCTATAAAATTTTGCAGTCAATTTCATCAGGTATTAGGCCATGTGTTCACAAAGTTCGTCAGTTTTAAAACATTTGTTGGCTACTTTCACAAGGAAACTTGGACTTATAGTTTTATCACATTCGCGTGGATCTGTCCGCAGTAATCGAGTTTAACCTTTCGAAGGATTTTATTTAAACTACGTATGAACATAACGCCATTACATACCACTTCAACATGGAACTTTTAAGATTTCCTACCGTCAGAGTGTTAACTTCCGAGGTAGGAATACAATTTTGTGTAAAGCAATAGAAATCCTCTGTGGTAACAGATATCCTTAAAATATGGAACTTTTCTTGAGGAATTTTTTGTAAAATGGAAAGAAAGATGGAAGTAACGCAAAATCTTTTCGCTGTTCCTGCTTTCGATTTGACGGCGATAAATAATAAACCACTAGGACTAGGTGTACGAAACTTGGTGTGGCGATAGTAAACTGTTTGCTGGTATTAAAGTAGCTAATAGTCAGACGATTTTTATTTTAAGGTTGAATTATCTGTTTTAATTTATAATTGAAAACATAACGCAATTATAATTTTATTTATTATTTATTTAGTGTTCTGTCTGACGACAGGTCCATATGAACAGGATCCTTCCATCCTGTTCATATACGTTCTTGGCAGATGATGCAGAAGTGGTTTGCCATTGCCTTCTTCTGTGTGTGACTGGAGTAATTGTTGGGATGCCACGGAGAAACCGGGGAAGCCTCCGGAGGAAAACTCCGTGTTGCCTAGACCACGGCCTTGCCCAACACAAGTTATAAATTCTGGCACCGCCTGGAATCGAACCCGGGACCCCAGGATTACAAGGCCAGCGTTCTAACCGCTAGACCACCGTGGCGGCAATTATACTAGGTAAATTTATTACATCACCAACAATGCCCATCTGGTTCCTTTGAGATTCTCCATAAAAAGAATATATAATGCCGAAATGTCGGAAAGGAGAATTAGAAAATTAGAAAAAGGGACAGACAGAAAGGAAAAATAGGAGTTACGGAAAAAGAAAGGCAGTGACAGAGAGAGAGAGAATATATATATATATATATATATGGAGGGGTAAAATTAAAAATTTATTGTTTAAGAAAGTGCACTCAATTTGGTACGATAATTTTGTATTCAAAATAAACAACACAAAAAATGACGATCGTCATAATCGAGTATCAGACTTTCTGTATATTAAATTACAAATAAACAGGAAGGAAATTTTGTAAACTCCGTACAGATGAAGCCTCAGTATGTGTCGTTCCAAACACTGCGTATATTTGCCGGTCTGCTGTAATGAATAAACATGGAACTGCATTGAGCCTCACAGCAAAATGCATGGAATGTATTAAAACAGACATGTTGTCACGACCACAGCGGAAAGCGATTTAATTCTTTCCATAGACCAACTGTGACTTCACATAAAAGAGGAGGATACCGCATTTGTTGATTATCGGTTAGCCTGCTTTGAAACGCAGTATCAATCTATCGTGTTACGCCTCTCGTAATTTGACGACGTTTTGTCAACTACATTTTTTATGTAGCACCTAATAAACTGACGATTTTGAACGATAATTTATGAAGTATGTAGCAGAAATACGACCGTCCTAACAGAGCTTCAACGTTGTTTTCCAATATAATAATTCAGGGAAAATACTGTCTTCTTCGATATCCTCACCTACTGACGAAAGCACGTCATCGCCAGAATTTGACCTTCAACCATTTACTGAAGTAACCATGGTAACTAAAACAGCTTGAAGATTCTCCACGCCGTCATTTTGGCGCTCAGGAAAGCATTTAGGTCTTCATGTAAAATACCCAATATATCTGAAGATGGTTGTCTCCTGGGTTGTTGCGCCGTGTAACCTGGTAGAAGTTTATCGACGTTTCAGAGGTCCTTGTTGCCTCAATCATCAGAGCAATTCTACCAGACTATTCGGCGCAACAGCCCAGAAGACAGCCATCTTCGAACTCACCGCCGTGGAAACCTCAAATCCTACCCAAGATATCTGTTAGATTTTAACAAACAACTGGAACGTGTAGATATATTTTAGTGAGCGCCACAATATCACATTTAGGCCTAACGAAAATCCGTTCAGCCGTTCTCAACTTGTTTCGTACGTACACATGGACGATGGATAGAAGAGCGAATGAACAGAACGGTTTAAATAGACGCTTCGTAGAGATGTGAACGCGTCTAAAACGAGAGGCTTTTTTATTACATTTCCAGTTCGTAGTAATTTTTAAATATGTATGGAAACATACACCAATTCTAACATGTCAATAACATAGGGTAAACACAAGCAGAGGGCAGGAACCTTAATACGATTCATGAATTCTAGGTATTGAGCCAGCAGTTCAAATATGAAATCTGGAAACCTGCATAAAATTCGAATATGTTATAAGCTACGCAATTCCACTCATTTTGTTTCAGGGGACCGGTTGAGAAGCTTAGAATTCATAACCTCTATCTGCGGGCGATAAGCTAATTTATTAGCTATTTGGAAACAAGAGTGGACTAGGTGCAGTCCAGTTCCAAATGAGCACAAGATGCGTTCTTTGCGACTTCTACTTAACAAAATTACTAAGAAAATTACACAATTAGGATATCTGTAATTTATAATATTTACGAAGAAAAACCATGGTAATCAAATAAACAAGGTTGCGATGGGCAGAACATGTAGCACACGTGGGAGATATGGGTGATTAACAGAAACGTTAGTTGGCAAATTCAAAGAGAAGAGACCACTTTGAAGACCTTGGTGTAGACGGAAGAATTGTATAAAATTTTATCGTAGAACTATGGTGTAAAATGGAATTATCTGGTTCCGGTTAAGTCCAGTGGCGGGATCTTGCGAACATGGTAATGAATACTCGAATTCCATGAAGTTAGTTATTCATTAACGTTGCTATTAATTCATTAGAGACACAAATCTATCGTTGCAAAGCTAATCACACTATATAGAGTTATAAATTATATTTCCTTGTGTTTAACTAAATACTCAAACGAAAAGTGTTGTTTTTTAATTTAAAGCATATATCTCCCGATTCATCTATTGAGATTTTCGATCACAATTTTGTACACAGTTATCACCCCTCATGTATGCTACATGCCCAGGCTATCTCCTTGATTTCATCGCCCTAACAATATTTGCAATTTTCTCCAGCATCTTGTCCCCTTATGCCTCCTAGGTCCAAATGTCCTCAGCGCCCTGCTCTCAAACACTCTCCATGTGCGCTCACAATATTATATGAAGAGCTACAATTATGGAACTTTTCATTATGTAATTTGTATTATATTTCTCATACTTCCGCTTAGGTTCAGACATTCCCCTCAGTATTTTCAAACACTCTCAATTCATGTTGTTTCCTCAGAGCAAAATCCGTGTTTCGTAGTTATTCAGAACGGTAATTAAGCTAGCAAAACTTTAAGAGCTACGTTTGGGTTCCAAAATCGACCTTGAAGCACGTAGTCCACATCTTTCTCGGGCTACCGTCCCCTGAAAATGTGGACCGTGCCACAGGCATGACACTCAAGTGCTTGGGTTGCATAGCAACTCAGGGACCACCCATTTCTTGCGCAGCTCATCACTGCCCTCATTTTGTTTGCTACGTCAAGCTAACCGGGTCCCCTTTGTGCTCACTTCTTTACTAATGATCTGGACGTGTTCAGGCATTTCTTTGGAAGTGCCACATGTCCCTTTCCAAACTAAGTTATTCTTCTCTGAATGTCTTTGGCGATGGCATTATATTACTATTTTTTTTTTTACTTTATGTATCGTATGTGTTTATTTTAAAGATCTTTGAACCTTAAAAAGTCAGTACATTTCCTTCGGCTTCAGGTAGACCGAAACGTTTAACTTACCACATCAAA